ACACACACACACACACACACACACACACACACACACTCACGCACACACACACTCACACACATTCACATACATCAAAGATCGGTGAAAATACCTTTGGGCGTCATTGCAGTAGGTCGTGGATTTATGTCGACAATTTCCTTACAAAGTTACCATAATTTTGTCTGAACCATGTGACGACATTCAACAATATCCGTGTTGTCCATAAAAGAAAGCGAAGGGGTGAATGTGGGGAAATGATATGGGGAATCTTCCTTTCAAACAAAATGTAGATGTGCACATTCAAGGAAAACAGTATCTCGCAGTCATACAAAGGTGACAATGATAAACTACACTTTGAACATAATGAAAAGATGCTTACCAGACTCATCAAATTTATCCTCACATACAAAGATGTTACGTGGTGGTATGCAATGTAGTGAGATAAACAGGCCTTATGAGATATTGTGTAGGATGCCATTTCAGACGTGGTATCTCCAAATAAAAATCCATATCCGATAGGACTCAGTCAATAAATGGGTCGAGAGAGTAATAGTAATACCCCTTCGTCCGTCAGTGTCTGATGATGACCTATGCATCTGCAGAAGATAACATTCCTTTAAAGAAAAATAGAACAAACAAATCGGATAAGGATTACATTGCGTAGCTTCTGCGTCGGCTTATTCGACCAATTTTTGTTATGAAGAACGGCCCAGACAGCCATGTGAACTCCCAAAATAATCACGTTCAAGAGCGCCCCCTTGGCGATTTGAACCAGGATCAACGGTGTTGTCGTCAGCGTAAGACCAACTTAGAGGGATTTGTGTATTCGGGTTGAGGAGATGGTCAGCAAGAACAATTGAACGAGATAAAATAAAGAACAGGGATTGTCACTACCTGCTTTTGGTGCTTGTCGTTTTTATTGTTTCTGATGTTGATGTTGTCGTGGGTTTTTGTTGTTGTTGTTGTTGTTGTTGTTGTTGTTGTTGTTGTTGTTGTTACTGCTGCTGCTGCTGTTGTTGTTAATGATGGTGGTGGTTATGTTCTTTTGTTGTTGTTTGTTTTGTTGTGGATTTTGTTTTGTTTTGGGGGTTGTTATTGTTTGGTTTTTGTGTTGATTGATTTCTTAGGGTGACAATACATTTTATAATATTTCTTTAAATAATAATTTCTTTATTTGACAGCTGGCTGGTCCATTGACTCCTTCGCCTTCATCAGCTGTTGGATCGCTGTCTTTGTGTCCATAGAGAGGTGTCTTTGTGTCGCACTCCCTCTAAGAGTCAAAGATATCATTACTCCCAAGATCACGGCCGTCAACCTCGTTCTGATATTCTGTATTGGACTGGGGAGTGTTTTGCCGACATTTGCCGCCATTAGAGTGACGTCATTGGCATCAGCCAAAAACATTACCTTATTTGGCATAGGATTCACCTCCGACAGAAAAATGTTGGAAATGCTTTCGTATATTTTCTCGATATTTCTAAAGAAATTCTCTTTCGTGTGCCTGCTGTTTTCGACTGTGATTTTAATTGCCACTCTAAAGAGAAAAGCAAAGCATCGTCAAGACACTCTTATGTCAGCACCTCCCCGAAACAAATTATCTACGTCCAGGGAAGAACGAGTGGTCAAGATGGTCATACTTGTGTCCTCGATTATTCTGGTCAATTTCGCTCCTTCACAACTACTATCCATTTTGACTCTGTTCCGACCAGAGTTTGACTTTAACGGAAAAGAAGAATGGTTGTTCTCCATGTTGTGGTCTTTTGTATATCTGGTCTACGCTATAAACGCCAGCGTCAATATGGTCATTTACTACCGGATGAGTTCAAATTTCAGGAAGAAGTTACTTGAAATTGTATACAAGAAAGTTGGTGGGATTGGTTCTAATAGAATGGAAAGATAAGTTGGGACTCGACATATGCACTACATATTACCAGTTAAAAGTCTTAAATCTTTAATCCAGACTACCCTCACCTCCAATCACACACAAACATACGTACCTACACACGCATGCGCGCGCACACATACACACACACACACACACACACACACACACACACACACACACACACACACA